CAAACAATGGGTAGTTTTCCCAATGGAATACAGAATATCCACCATAGACTGATCCCGGCTATGCTTGTGTGTCCACCCAAACAATGGGTAGTTTTTCCAATGGAATACAGAATATACTACCAACAAACTCAAATAGATCTACCCCAAATTTGCTTGACTGGTCACGAAACAATGGTTTCAAGTTGAGGTTGAACTTGATGAATAAAAGAATCAAGTTCAGTCTCGACTTCAAACCATTGTTTCCTGGTCATCCAAGCGAATTCAGGAAAGGTCTATTCATAAATTTTTTTAGTAGTTTTTTGATTTTTTTTCTTAATGTACCTTTAAAATGTATTGATTCTAAGACAGACATTTATAATTTTCAGCAAATGGTGTCTGTTCCATGCTGTATATCGAAAACACATTTTAGCTTGTCCAACAGTAACTAGGGCGGTAGAACAATGAATGCGAGATTGGTGTATTCTTACTATAGGAATTGACTTAATGTAAAGAAAATTATTTATCTTATACATTGTTGTAACACTGTTGTCTACCCAAACAATGGGTAGTTTTCCAAATGGAATACTGTAAAATCCTAAGTTGTAAGCCAACCATTAGTCTGATAATGCAAACATCCTTTTGTTTATGAGCCCCCTGGCTTATAATACTGCTTTCTGAATGGTTTATTGGTCTGGGATAAAATCCATTTGTGTTTGGTGGGATCCCTGTGGAGCCAACAACAACATGGCCTCTGTCTAGTGGAATTCAAACTTAGTCATTGTGTCATCTTTCTGTTACAGGAATATAGTTTTAAGACACCTGATACTACAAAGTTACCATCCATACCAGAAAATGTATGTATTCAACCTTCACTAGTCAAACTGTTCACCAATTGCCCTAATTCACTATGACGTCACTGCTTGTTTATGTGGGGGATAGAATCGCCAAATCCAATAGAAAATTCAACAAAATTTGCTCCTAGCGAAACAGTTTAATCTAAAATGGCCTGGTTTTCAGATGTAATATGTGTTAATATGTACTAAAAAATTTTCTGAGCCTTTGCTGGATATTCTACTTCTCTTCGTGGATTAATATGGGTTTTAGAACAATTTTTGGTGAGTTTGCATTGATTTAACCCCCTCTGACAACCATGATCCTTTGCGTTTAAACAATAAATTGTTGAAGATTGTTTTTGCCTATTAGGAATAACCTAGTCAATGAATTTGCTATCTCGTTTTATGTGTGATTCAGAGGGGATGGGTGCGGCAAACTGGTAGCCCCTACCTCAGGAAGTGAAAACCTGAAATTTTGTCCCCAAATATCTGTAAAACTAACATTAAAACTGGTAAAGTTGCTAGTACTTGTTGACGATATAAAGATGAGACCATTTTCATTTGTTCATTTTTCAGCATAATTTAACAGATTATTATGCTCACATTGACCCAATGAATATGATCCACTTATTTGTTAGGTGAGTTGCATCAGCATTTGAATTGTGAATTAAAAACTTGTTCTTGAGATGAGTAATCGTTATCATAATAAAATGAATCTAAATCTCAATATATTAAATCATTTGTTTGTGTTTGTTGCAGCATGTTTTTTGAAAGAAGAATAATAATTACTTCAAAGAAACTTAGTTTGGTACGTTTGATAACATGATGATGGTGTTGATGATGATGGTGATGATGATGATGTGTGATGATGATGATGGTGGTGATGGTGATGATGATAATGATGTGTGATGATGATGATGGTGGTGATAGTGGTGGTGGTAGTGGTGATGATGATGATGATGACGGTGATGATGATAATAATGGTGATGATGATGGTGATGATGATGATGGTGATGACGATAATGATGGTGATGATGGTGATGGTGGCAGTGATGATGGTGATGGTGATGATGATGGTGGTGATGATGTTGATGGTGATGATGATGATGGTGGTGATGATGGTGATGGTGATGATGATGATACTGATGGTGATGATGATGATGATGATGGTGATGGTGGCAGTGATGATGATGATGGTGATAATGATGGTGATGATGATGGTGGTGATGATGTTGATGATGATGATGGTGGTGGTGATGATGTTGATGATGATGATGGTGATGATAGTGATGGTGATGATGATAATGATGGTGGTGATGATGATGATAATGATGGTGGTGGTGATGATGATGATGATAGTGATGGTGATGATGAGGATGATGATGGTGGTGGTGATGATGATGATGATGGTGATGATGATGGTGATGATTATGTGGATGACAATACCTACTTATTGAAGCCTATAAATTTGATAAGTAATTTGATTTTTTCCAGTTAACAGCATGTACTTATGGTGCTGCATCACTACTCTATCCAATGCATTGGTATGTGTGTGTCATAAATCCATTAACCAAGTGTTCATGTTGTTAAAGAAAAACTCTTATATAAAACCTGGAAGTCTTTGGAAGGGAAGGAGAAAAAATAGACCTCTTTAGTTTTGACCTAATGTTTTCCCATTTCAGACCACTTGTCATTCCTAACAGAATAAAATTATTTCATTAAATTGCCTCCAGATAAATGTATGTTCTTATACACAAGTTTTAAACAAAGAAACAATACTCTGAATACAAGTGGTCTAAAATGAAAAAAAATTATGCCAAAGCTAAAGAAAGAAAGAACAAGCAAATGAGCGAACCAACGAACAAACGAACAAACGAACAAATGAATGAACGAATGAACAAAAGAAAGAAAAAAGAAAGAAAGAAAGCGTAAAGAAAGAAAATTAATTGTCATAGGGCTTGAAAAATGTATTTATGTTACTATTCTTTCAACAGGCAGCATATATTCATCCCTATCATGCCTCCTCATTTGTTGGATTATTGCTGGTAAGACCAGGCCCGTAGCTAGGATTTTTGTTGGGGGGGTGCTAATTTACAAAAAGTGGACCAACCATATACTTTATTTTTTAAAAGTCCCATAGGACGCATAGGTATAGATAAATTATTAAAGTAAAATTGATTTTTTTTNTAGATAAATTATTAAAGTAAAATTGATTTTTTTTACTTAGTTTTACGTGAAAATATCATACCAGCCAAAATCTCACTTGCTTAAAAAGCGGATCTTTAGCTCGCGTGGGGGGGTGCGAATGCACCCCCTGCACCCCCCTAGCTATGGGCCTGTAAGATAAGGATTCTATAGAACATATATTATACCTATTAGGAATTTACATCATTTGTAAAATCATAATTAACTGAAATTATTTTATCTTCTTTCGTAATGATTCAGCCTTCTTCTTCCCATTTGTCTTCTTTTCTTCCCACATTATTTATTTCTCTGTTCCTCCTATTTTCCACTCTCTCAACTCTATTCCTCTTCTTACCTTTTGTTTTCTTCCCTTCCATTCCCTTCTCTCATCTCCCCCTTAATCTTTCTTTCCCTCTCCTCTCCTCTTCTCTCCCATCTATTCTTTTACTTCAGTTCCCTCGTCTTCCCTTCTCTTCCCTTTCCTCTTGTTTTCCCGAACATGGCTCCCTCCTTTCTCTCTCCTGTTCTCTCTAATTCATTACTCTCTCACGCTTTGCTTTCTCATTCCATTCCTTTCTTGATTTTATTCCATTCTTTTCTCTAGAATTTCTTCCCTTCTTTTCCACCTCAATCCTCCCCACACTTTCTTTGATAAAGTTTAATTCTTTTTAGTTATTATTTTAAACTTGAAAAACTGTTTGCTTTTCATTACTTTTAGTGCGCCAATGCCGTTTCTTATTGGTGTCCATGCATCTCTAATGCAGGTAAGTATTCTCTGTCAAGATCAATCAAATAATTTCCTTAGTTAAACCAAGATTACTATAAAAAGGGCTGCATCTAACAACTTATCATTTTTTCAATAGAAAGTTTATAAGATGCCGTTAGACGAAGTGGTCATTCTAGATGCAGATACAAATGAAATTGATACTCCTTTTCATGACTGTGCAAAAATACCTCAAGATGTGGTGAGCTTTTCCTATTATCCTCCCATTCATTCATTCATTCATTCATTCCTTTCCTCCATTTATGTGTTCCATCCCTCCTTCCCTCCCTCCCTCTTTTCTCCTTTCTTTGTTTGTTCTATATTTTATTTTACATTCTTTAAATCTTTTATGCCAATTTATTTAATGCCATTCATTTTCGTTTTCTATGACATCCAGATACTGACCCTCAAAAGCACCCTTAAGAAGACAGTCTACCCAATAGAAGACCATGTCTCCAAGGCATTTCTCTGTGCCATGGTTTCATTAGTCGGTAGCTACAGAAATGCACTAAGATTTAAACCAGTAAGTTGTTTCTCTCACTTGATTACATTAATTCTTTTGATGGCAGTTTGGCGGCAGGTTTAGCAGCAAATTTGATGGCAGATTTGACGACCTTAGGTGTAATACTTTCAACTTAAGACCACATATCGTTCCCCATCCATAGAGTATAGTTGCAATGCAAACAAAGAATCATATTATCTAGACAATACACATGGTAACATTATGCCCAAGTTTAAGAGGTCTATTTTGTGGTAGAATAGTGAAATGGTTTGAATAACAAAATGATTTCCCAACCGGTAATTTTTAATTTTGCTCTACAACATCTTCAGAATATTTAATATTTATTTTTTTCTGAAAACTTATTATTTTTTCTTTTAGGGAGAACGAATTATATTTGACAAAGACGCGTAAGTTTTTTTTTGCACCTTTCTTTTTCTTTACCCCATTCCTCATTTTTTCCTAACTCCAGTTTTTCAATTATTCTCAGTTTTTTTATTATTCTCAGTTTTTCTATTCTTCCCATATTTTCCCTTACTGCAACATTTCCTTTTCCCTTCTTATACTTTCTTTATTTCCCATTTTGTTGCCTTCAGGTTTATTCAATCCAAATCTACTAGCAAAGGAGCTTTCTTGGAAACAGTTTTACAACTACAGTTGTTTGACCAGGTGAGTTGAATTTTTTACGTGTATGGGGGGTAAGGGGGGGGAGCTTGCTGCTGGGATTTTGTGGATTGTAAGTTTGACCCCTTCTCAGCCTGAATTTTTTTTACATGGCAGGATAATTGTTTAAATAATTTTTTTATTTAGCGAATTATTTTTGGGGTTTCAAATGCCATATTTTTGTACGTGCCCCCCCTCCCCCCCTAAATCCCACCAGTGCCCCCATGCCTGTAAAAAATGAACAGTCCCCTATTACCAACAATCGATTTTTGTTTAGCAGTGTAGCACATGACAGACTACAATAGTACCTCTCATTAAGTGAACACCCTTCATAAAACAGACAGCTTTACAGTCAAAACGGATCAAGCCTACCCCTTAGGTTCCATTAATGGTACACTGTTCAAATATTGAAATTCATTGTTCTTTCTGAGAATATGAATACTCCGATTCAAAATAATAAATGATTCAAACCTTGAATTCTGATTGGATTATGGTGTTCCTCATGGAGTTATTATTTCAAATCCTTTGTCTTCATATTCTTGGAAAGAATACCTCATTAGAGTAGACATCTGATTCTTAACTTCTTTTACTTCATTAGTTTATTGGTGAGCGGTTGGATCTGCTGAATTCAGGCCAAGGATTCAATGATCTTTTTGAAGAGCAAATTGGCCTTCAAGCAGAGGGTAAGTCCTTGACACAGTAACATGTATGACTAAAATTAGGATACAGAATAGCAATGCTTACCCTGGATGCCAGAGGCTGTGTGGTGTCCCCCAAGCCCCCAAGCCCCACACGGCCTCTGGCACCCAGGGTAGGCAATGCTGTACTTTGTACCAAATCTTCCTTATCTTGGACTAATAAATTTTGTTTCACAGATCAAAAAAAGTTGAAACATCAGTACAAGATTTGGAAGGTAAGATCACACCCCTAAACAATGTTTGAGTTTGTATAATATAAATCAAACCATAACCTTTTTATTCTCTTTTTCAGAGACAAAGCACAAAATATATTGAAAAGGTAAATTAATAAACTACAAATCCTTATAAAATATTCTTTTCATTTTTGGTTCATTTTTAAACATTTTAAGGGGATGAGAGGGTAGGGTCACGTGACTTGTTGACAGCAATATTTTTTATTAGTCTAAATCCACTAATGCTGCATTCATAATGTATGGCAGAGGGGGGGGGGGGGGGAAAATGAGAATTTTTGGCAAGTGTTTGAACGCGTGCGCTGTCATACCGGAAGTCCAAGAAATCCTGGTCTCAAAAAATGGAATGGTATCTTTGCATATATTAAGGCTGCGTTCATAATGTATGGCAGGGGGGGGTCAGGTGAAAATTTGAAATGTCCATAATAATTCTTAACATCCCCCCTTAAAGTCATGCAAAAAAATACAATCCCTCCTAAGCAAGGCTCTTAGCTTCTTCCAACCCCTCTATTTTTCTGATAAAAATTTGCCCATCCCCCCTTTTTCCTACCAAAATTTTTCCGGTCCCCCCTCAATTTTACCTGCCCCCCCCTCTGCCATAAATTATGAACGCAGCCTAATGGTCTATCACAAATCCGATACTCTGATTGGCTGAGCAATGATGGGCCTGATACTCCAGTTAATTTTAAAAGCCAAAACAATGGTGGCTCACTCATGTGTTTGATTGTTTGTCTTTACTTACGTTACCTATTAGTAGACCTCTCACCCTCCGTAGTCTAGAAGTTGGAAAATTCCGAGGAGTTCCAAAATTGGATGAGGCTGAGTCCAATTTGGCAGTCAGAGGAATTTTTCGAGTCTAATTTTTTTGATTGGGGAGCATGAAATCCCATTACCTATTAATTATATAGCTGCCTAATTAATCCCATATCAACAGGACCTGTCCAATTAAGAAAATAATTGGACAGTTACCTATATGGGATTAATGAGAAGCTGTATAATTAAAATATTAACTACTAATGTGCTTTTACATAAATGGTTTCACTGTCATTTGCATTTTCAACTCCCCCAAAAAACGTTTACCAAAACAGTCCCTATAATGGGGGGATTCCTTTATTGATTTGTGTATGGGTATAAATTTGTGTCTTATAGTGGACACTATCTTGGCCTTAAGTACACGTCTAATGCCTTTATCCTGTGGTTAAAGTGGGGTCCCGTCATTCTAACCTTTGGAATTTTCACCCCAGGCTATGAAGTCTTCAAAATACGGTTTCAACGAAACCAAGACATATTTAATGGGAGTTAAAAAAGAAGCCAAGAAAGGTCTAATCCAGTTGAAGGATAACATTGGTGAGAAGCTTCGAGGGAAGGTATGTATGTATCTGAAGCTACTCCCATGAAAATTCATGGTTCCGACTCGGTGTTCCCAATGAAATAAAAATCTTGTCCCACAAACAACTACAAAGTATCTTCTTCAGAGTTCTTCTATTTCACCCCGGCCAGCTCTCAGTCTGACCTCTAGCTCAGCTGGTAGAGCATCGGTAGTACAATTCCGAAGGTCGTAGGTTCGATTCCCAGCGAGGTCGGAAATTAATTTTTCCGAATTTAATTCCAAGGGTCGCCCAGAATAACCTCGTTCCCAAGCACTATAATTTATCTATATTTCTATATCTTCATGTATTTCATAAGTGCTACGCGGTCCACATATTCTCATCTTTTCTTCAGAGTACTTTGCAGGACAGTAAACAATTGAAACCATTTATAATCAATTTTCCGCGATCAGAGTTTTAAATTCTGAGATATTCTAGATAATTTGTTAAGCTGTGGGACATAGCAACGGTATCTAAGGCGAGTTGGAACCATGAATGTTAACTTACCAAAGTAACCAGAGAGGGTTCTTATTAATCAGATTAATTACTGGCCTACCTATGTTATGCCAGTTGTAAAATCCCTACGTCATCTCATTTGAATATTGATATTTCAAATGTCTATATATCCGAAAAGAGAAGTCCACATACGAAATTACTGCAACCATACTACTACACTGTTCACATATAAGTGATTTTGAAAATAAATTTTTTCCCTTGATATACACTTTAAAGCGGGGTCAGACAGTAGTTTCTTGTTAACCCAGCAAAATGAATCCTTAACTTATTTACTTTTATGGATCCTTAACTTAAATGAATCCTTAACTTATTTACTTTTATGGACCACACAGGAGGATGAGGAGATAGGCGGAGAGCTGAAAAAGTCCAACTCCCTTCCCTACATGAAACACTATGGTATTGGTGCAAAGATTTCCCCCATTACGAGACGAAAAGCATTGTCCCCACAGGTGAGTGGACGTCGTCGTGGTGTGACGTCAAAGCAGCTTAATTTGGAGATCAAAACAAAAGAATTTCAATCTCAGTTTCAATTGTTATGTCCTTCGAATTGAGCTGCATTCCGACGTGCTGCAAGGGGTCGATTCGTCCTTCGCTTGCTTCAGGGTTCTAATTTACTTTCCATTTTATTTCCAAGGCAAGAAAGGCGCACAGTTTTCACCAAGAAAATGACGTCAGAAGACCACGCCCAAAGCGCCCACCCCCACCAAACGTCCGTGATCGAACCAATGCGATGTCATTAGTACTCGATTCAGACCTGAATGAACGTGAGATGCCGACTCGGCACAGTACTCCTGATCTAAAGATTGATCCTCCAATAGCTAAGCTCGTATCGATCGATTCTCCCGAAGAAGACAAGACAAATGAGGTAGGAACGATCAAAATTTTTTCATAGCTGTAATACACTCGCCTTTCACCTGGAATCTCGGGGTCAATTCCTGGACTCAGCATCGCATGTGAGCAGAGCTTGTTAGGTCTCTCCTTTGATTCCGGGTTGTCCGGTTTTCTTCCCCTCGCAAAACCTAACGCTAAATACAATCTTTGAGTTAGTCGTTTGCTTCAGGTGACGATAAATGAAATAAGAGGGTTTGCTTAACTCGCTGAGTTCCTATACAAAAGAAATCCGGTTTATAACATATTTGTTCTACATTTCTTTTCCATTCTTCTATGATTATATTCACATCTATGGAAATAGCTTTAGAAAACTTAATATCTTAAGAATACTAATCCATACGATTCCCAACCATTCATTTCGTCCCATCAAAGTTCTGTCCTATCCTATTCACCTATCCTATACAATGTGCATCAATCGCTTCCATCCAACCATCCCATCCTATCCATATGCATCCATCCCATCCATACAATCGAGCCCTTTATTCTTCATTATTTTTCGGCTTATCGTATTCCTTTTTTTCTCTTTTATTTCTCTTGATGTTTGATTTACTTGAGTAAAAGATGACAGTAATCATTATTCTGATCCATACTCTTTTTCCCTTATTTTCTTCCCTCATCCTAACCAAAATACCAAAGGATGACAAGAGAAGTACCTTACTTGACTTGTCAGAAGCGCTCCAAGATGAACAAGTCAACGAGGCTTCATCCAGCCCTCCCTCAGATAAAATAGAAAATCCCGCGAGTACCCAACCAGCAAACTCTCCAAAACCTTCCCGACCGTCGAGGAATACATCATCGGGGAAAAATCCGAATCGCCCGAAAGTGCCTCCCAGGCCTTCTCTTTCTAGAAAAACTTCCGGTTCGTCTGATACTTCCGACGTCAGGTCAGGACAGCATTCCCCAGCCACCCCCACTGGGTTTGTTCTTACACCTTTAAGACATTTGTCAATTGATTTACACAAAGACATTTTGACTTCACTTGGACCTGATTTCGATGGATTTTTTCCGAACGCCGAAAGTCAAAATTCTACGAACACTTCCGAAAGTTCTCCGACGTTAGTCGATGGCCTTACGAACTCTGTAGAGACAAAAGATAAACATCAGAAGAATAACGTCAAAGAAAACGAACCTGCGGGTAAAAATATAAATGCTCTCGATAATTCTTCGCCGCAAATCGATAAGAAATCGGTAACCGACGAGTTGTCAGAAGTGTTCAACTCCAACGACGTCGAAAAGAAGTCCGATTGGGTCAACTTTGAATAGATGAAACATCTTCATGTTTCGTGAAGATTCTTCAGTTTTATTGCTAGGGTTTTTTAATGGTTTCTACCATGGATGGAGTTCATTCCAGGCAGGTTTCAATGTCATACAATGGCTGGTCAGATATCTATGATGTCAAGCCCAGTTACCTCTTCAGAAAATAACCTCTAAGGTCAATCACGGGGAAGTTATCCTCATTTTTTGTGTCCTTATATTATCATAAATATTTTTGGTCAACAACAAATATTTTTCTGGGATTTGTGGTAGGTCAGTTGATGTGCCTTCCTTTTGTTTCCTGTAGTTTGCACGAAAACTCCGCTTCGGCTATGAAAACAATATGTAAGAAACGTAGATGGAAAAAATATTGAATTTTCAAAAAAAAAAAAGGTGTTTTTATAAACCACATATTTGCGGTAATATGCTGACACGAAGACCAAGACTAGGCTCCCTGTGGTGGACTAATCTTTTATTGTGACCCGTCAATTTTGGGTGCGCAAGGCATCACGGTAGCGCTATTTCAGCCTACGGTAAATCGTAATACCAGAATTTCTCAAGAATAAGCTTTTTCATCTTCCTTTTAAAAGCCATCGAAATTTAACAATTTCTTGTTGCAAGATGTGAAGTTTTAAATGCGTGACTGAATAACGTGTTAAGCGTTGTGTGACAAAGAATATGTAAGCGTTACTCAGCTTGGGAAGCTCATTTTTTTATTCAGAGAAAAATCTCACTAAGATGTATAGATTTGATTCATTTTAGGCCCCGTCCACACGCATCCGGAAATTTTTGTATCCGCAATTTTTTTTTTGCGGATACGGGTTGCGTCCACACGTGTCCGGAAATTTTTGTAATGAGCATGAATGAAATTCAGGCAAGTTAAAACCGAGTCGTAGCAGCCAGCGGCTACCCACCCCAATAATATGCGGTGGGGGTGGGGGGTGGGGCGCGTTTTTGCTAAGGACTTAGTGGCAGCTTTGCCAGCAGTCTTGGTAGCTTTGGCTGTGAGCGTGCAGCAAAAAATTTTTATCCCGCCCGCCCACTCCTCTATTGGTGGGAGCAAGGTGAGTATTATTCCACTGAGTGGTCAGTGTGACAGGTACCAGGTGGTGAGCTGTGGCCCGGTCGCCATGGTTACCTCCATGGTAGGGCGTAGTCTGATTGATGCGCACAGCTCGCACCATGGTACCTAACCCCAAACTTATCTAGACGATGAGTTTTAATCCGTATCCGGAAATTTTCGAAAACGGTCTCCAGAGTGGAAATTTTCGAATACGCTCCGAATACGGATACGTGTGGACGGTCGTATCCGCAAATTTTGAAATACGCCGACGTAAACACGATTTTGCGCATGCTCAGTAAGAAAAACTATCCGTCAAATGGACTAGGCATTAGCGTGCATCAGGGCGGATCAAGAAATTTCCGGATACGTGTGGACAGTGAAAACGATTCGAATACACTGCGTGTGGACGCGAACATTTTCGTATCCGCAAAAAAAAATTTGCGGATACAAAAATTTCCGGATACGTGTGGACGGGGCCTTAAGCAAAACCAGCCATATCGCTGCTTACAAATCCTAGGAATTATTGTATCACAAAGCTAGAGGGATCAATATATTTAGATGGAGAATTTATAAAGATTGTAGATGATTTTGTATAATAAATAATTCACAGCTTAAAATTATCGAAAGCGGTAGTGTTATGTAATGTGCAATAAGGTAGGGAGTTAGTGCGCATGTTCTGAAATTTGGCGGGAAAAGGGCGGACCCAAATGAGAACATACATCTGTGAGAAATTTGCGATACTTAAAATTATAAAACTAAGGTTTTTCATATCTTTTTTATTGCACTCTCTACTCCGCAACATAAATTTTCGCAACTTAGATTATTTCCCCCCCAAATATTTTAACAGGAACATCCAGTTTAGGGTTAGACTAAATGGAGTACTGTACGCAATAAATATTATTTAACAATTATTCTCCGAAGGCGAAGTGAATACCGGGGAATATTTACTGAGCCACGAGTCTCGAGCATCGTGTCCAGTTTCTTATAGCAGTTCATTAAGTACTTAACTGACCCCTTCGCTCAAACCTCAAGAGGCACCTTGTTAAGACCTCTGTTAAATTCTATGAAAACTCTTTTCAGCGATTAACCTCTATTATGCGTTACTGTCATTTTGCGTTACTATCAATTTGCATAACTGTCAATTTGCGTTACTGTCAATTTGCGTTACTATCAATTTGCATAACTGTCAATTTGCGTTACTGTCAATTTGCGTTACTATCAATTTGCATAACTGTCAATTTG